TTTTCACTGGGTATGGTTATTTTATAATATTCTTGCTGGTCTTTCATCAGGAAGTCATATTCCTAAAGCATAAATGTCAGGGAATATATTTTGAATACGTATTTAAGCTTAGAGGCAATATTTTGGGAGTTAACGCAAAAATCCATTATTTTGTAGGAACAAAACCACGATAACTAAAAAATTGGGTGGCTATTTTGATCAATAGTCTCAATGCAAACCAAAAGATAATAACAAAGAAAGGAAACTATTATGCATTCATTTAATTTGGATAATAAATTTTTCCAACTGAAATTAATTGCATCGAATTTGATTATTAAAAATCATAAGACTATGACCAAAAAGTCAAATAATACATAACAATATATTTGTAATATATAATAATATGTAATATTACTTCATTTTATAATTTATTCTTAAATTTCACTGTGAACCTTGAAAATTGTTTACATAATGATACATGCATGGAGGGATTTCAATATCCTCGGCTCCCTGAATGGTGCTATTTTTTGTATATAACTGTCTGTTCTGAGTCTCGTCATTTTATTTACTTATTGTTTCCGCTAAAATATTTTTCACAAATGCTGCCTAACTTGAGACATGGGCAATTGTCTTAAAAAGTGCCAGAGAGATATGGGAGCGGATGAGTTTCACCCTGTATCTCCCAACGCCTTAATTGATAGACCTCTTCCACCTCGTCCTCTATCTGAAAGTCTTCTCCCTAAAGGATCCCCGGATCTTTCCTGTGTTGAATCTATTGTTGACAACGAACCCTACCCATTCGCCTTCTCTAGCACCCCTCCTCGTACCAGAGCTGAATTTAATGGTTACCGGTCCAATTCTAAAGACAAAGTGAATATATTTCCTTCTCATGATTCTCCTATCGCCTTTTCCTCCAGTCGTCCTGTGGCTGTCACTTGTGCACCTTGTGTCTCCTCCGCTTGTCCTCCTCAATTCCATCCTCCTATCGTATCTATGGCCGCACAACGGTTACCCTCTAGCTTTCTTTCTGGTCACAGCTCCCGTTCCCACTCACTTCCCCGTGCAAACGGAAACAGCATTTCAGGCGTTGCTGTTCCCTACTCTCCCGCTATGATGACTCGAAATTTAGATTGTGAAGCCCATTTCAATCGCAGTATTGAACTCCGAAATTCTCCTCGATCACCCAGAAATGAAATTTCTGAACGGTTACATAGGGCCAGCATTGGTGCGTCAATCGATACTCGAAGTACCCCTCGCCAACCTTTCAACTCTGATTCTCCCTCTGAACTCCCAAACCGTTTAGTAGCTATTTTCGATTATAATGCAAGAACCGACGAAGAAATCTCACTGAGGAAAGGAGATTCAATGTTGGCCCTTAATATTAGGTAAAAGTTTTCTCATATTACCTCGTTTTACATTTTAAACTTTTATTTTTTTCCAGATCTTCAATGTAATTTCATTCTTTTACATTTCGATATTAAGTTCAACTTGTTTGCTATATTTTTAAGTATAAACCACGTTCTATTGACAATTTGACGTCAATTGATATGCGAGTTGTGTAAATTTCATTCCGCTTTATCAACTTGCTTAATTCCGATTTGTTAACTAGGTGATGACTAAGAAAAGATTTTCTTTGTCTATTTCTTTTCACCGTTATTTTCGCTTCTACTTTCGTCACTTTAATATCTCATCATTGATTTCAAATATAATGAAATCTAAAATCATTTTTTGGGTTCTGTTTCTTTTATCACTTCTGTTCTCTCACTTGTCTTTTCCATATGAGTTATCCAGTACGCCTGGGCTTCCAAATCTTGTTTGATTGAGCATTGACATCTTGATATTGTTTAAGTTTACTCTTAATTAATTTTTCATCATCGATGTCTAAAACCTAAAATTACTGCCTTTAAAAGTTAAAAAACAACGGATAAAATAGGACTACTTTTCTTTTGGAGAAATTTTGAGAAAATTTAAATACACTTTTTACCGTATTTTCATTTCTCCATTTTAATAATCCTAAATTGTGTTATGTATGGAGGTATTACTAAAAAGCCCTTTATAAATCAACCAGTATGGTGGATAAAACATCTCGTTCTTTCGGACATACTTAACTTTATATATCGGTTGTATGCTGTCCGAAAATTAGTTCCTACGTCTGTGAAAATTTCCCATCGAAATCATGTTGCCGCTTACCCAACCTTCTACCAAAAATCTGAGTTCAAACTATTTATTTATTTATTATTTATATCAAATGGCAGGCGTTTTGGTGGTTATCATCAGCCCTTTAGTTGACTTAAGGCTTCTCAGAAGGGAAGGTATATCAAAGTGAAAAAGTCGAGAGGAGGGGAAACTGAGTGTTTCAAAGACGAAGGTTGAAAATTTAGAAAAAGTCAAAGACGAAGGTTGAAAATTTAGAAAAAATGTGATGTAATACTGTGGAAGTGGGAGTCATACAGGGGGCACTTGGTAGTTTGAAGTCAACTGCCGGTTAATAGACTTTTTGCCGTATGAGTATACGTTGCCCAGGGTGCACCACGTGGAGGTAAGTCTATCGCACCCCATTTGTCACTCCTGAGGCTCTACAAACTGATCAGACCACTGACCAGTTGGATGTATTTGTTAATTTCGGAATTAAGTAACGTTAAAAATAGTCAATTTGGTTAACTGTTTGTAAATATTTCAAATCCGCCATTAACTTGATTAATTTAACTTTGTCTGAATGGTTAATATTATATTTGAACTATTTCCTTCTAATTGTAAGTTAAAGGTTATCACATTTTGATCAAGATTAAGTGAATTTTTTAGTATAAAGATTTTTGCTTAGTCCAAATTGCTTTTAGCACTATTTAGTGAAAAATAGTTCAATCTTATTTATTTTTATAATTATAATATAATCACTGCTTTCATTTACTTTATGTAAGATTAAATCTGATATGTAGCTTTGTTCTGAAAATTTGACTACATTTAATAAGTTCGTAAAGCACTGGTTTATCCGATACTTTGCTAATTAGTAAACTGTGAAGTATTTGCGAACTATCAAACTCATACATTTAATAAAACGAACAATATGACACAGCATTGACACAATCAACTCATGTATACATAAATACTTATATAAAATTTGTTCGGGAGGAATTTTCCAGAATGGTAGTCGGTTGCTTCTCTTTGTGTTAAAGGCATAGACTCTTCTTTCATAAACATGAAGACAATGATAATGAATAATTTGAATCACGGAAGTGAATAACTTGTACCACGGTGATTGAAATTGATTATCAAAATGATCGCTGCTCGTTGCTCTCTAATCACTGGGAAAAGAATCCGACGTGAACTGAGGAGATTCAGTGGAGTTTACGAGGCTGCTCTGTCTTGAGGAAAGCAAAATAATAAGCCGCCTAACGTGATTAAGCTTGCACAGCGCATTTCCACAAAATAAACAGTACGAAGTGAAACGTTTTGCTGAATTCTTTCCGATGAGAAAGACTTTTATCAAGTTATATTTCATTGCTCAGAATAATAGCTAACATGACTTGGGTACAGTCCAGAGGACACTCCTCAGATCTTGCAAACTCAGTTTTCTCTTAGTTGTGGCTGCGTCCCCTTTCGCCGATAGCAATTTAATATGATACCCCCGCCCCCCCTCAAAGACGGGAGTTTCATTCCAAATGAAATTCTCGAGTGGATAATATGATGCCTCCCTCAAGCACTTTTTCGATTGAGGGGCTTAGGTTGAATTCAGATACCTACTTGAAATCGCTGACCACTATTTGAAACAACCCTTGGGTCAGAGGAGTTGTGAGCCAATTGTTAAGATTATGTCAGTCACAAAGTGTGCTTGGTCTCCAAGCTCCTTATCTGTCCCAGATCTTAACCCGGTATTGGGCGCTGTCAAGAAAGACACCAATCGCTGTGTCGGTACTACAAAGGCCAGTTAGTAGTTACTGGACAGAATTAACTAAGCTGCTGAGGCCCCTGCTATGGAGGAAGTGTAGAGAACAACTGGTCTCAGATTTGGTGGCTAGATTGAGGCTGCTTGAAGATTAGTTTAGAAACAAAATCTTGTATTATTATATTTTCACGTAGTTTTGTACTAAATTTGGTTGGTACTTGTTAGCTTTATATGAAATTCCAGTTTGAATACTTAAGCCCAAGGCTTTAGAGTCATTAACTGTAATAATGCAAAGTTCATTTTATTTCTGTCAATGAATTAAAATTGATCAAAATGTTGTTGTAATATCTTTTTTAATGGAACCACTTTTTTCCATGAAGTTGTAATGGTGACAGTTGATGAAAAGACAATTAGAGTCTTCCCTACCTCTATTGCAATTCGTTGGGTCGGCTTTCCGATGCTTGTCTTCGTTTATCAAAATGGGTTTTTTTGTCTATGTCATTGTATTTTATTTCAATTGAAATACTGGGCCCCTTATTCTTTTTTTAACCTGAACTGGAATTCACTAACTGCCCACCTACCTAGATCCCTTTTTTTGCAATCTCCCGACCGAATTTTTTTCTAATCTATTTGTGAATAATAATCTGTAATCAAGTCTTGGAAGAAAAAAATTTAAAACTCCTGACTGCAAATTAAGTAAATTAATTTCTCCTCTTTTCTGCTAATAAAGTGGGAAATCTCCTTGCATTTTGTACATTTCGATTGGCTGCCTCACCAAAATTTAGCTTAAAATTAAATTGTTTTGCCAAATTAATTTTGCAAACTGTGCATCGTCTGGAGCATTTGTAGAATATCCTTTATTTATTTATATCAAATGACAGGCGTCTTGATGGTTATCATTAGCCCTTTAGTTGACTTAAGAATTCACAGAGGGGAAGGAACGTCAAATTGAAAAAAATCGAGAGGGGAGAACAGAAGAGTGTTTTAAAGATGTAAAAGAGACAGACA